AGTGAAAGAAAAAAGAAGCAGTGAAAGAAAACTTGAAGATCGATTCCATAGGAAGAAGACATAATCCTGAATATATATGCACCTAATAATATAACTTCAAAATTTATGAAGCAAACAATTGACAAAACTGTATGGGAAAGACAAATTTAGAATTATATATGGAAATTTTAACATACCTCCTCAATAATTAATAGAACAAATAGACAAAACATTGGTAATGCTATAGAACATTTGAGCAACACTCCTAAACCACTTAACCTAACGGACACTTGCAGAACACTATACTTAACGGCTACAGGTTACACAATCTTCTCAAATGTATACGAAACACTGAACACAATATCCCATATGCTAAGCAATAAAACTATATTCTCTAATTCTATGATTATATAGAATAATATATATTTATATTCTATAAATAAATTATATTCTCTAATGACAAAATTAAACTAGAAATCAATAACAAAATATCTAGAAAATCCCATATTATTTGATAATTAGGTAACTTCTAAATAATCTATTCATCAAAGATGAAATCACAGAAGTTTGAAAATATTTTGAAAGGAACACTAATGAAAATACAACATATGAAAATTTCTGGGATGCCGCTATAGTAGTTCTCAGATGGAGATTTGATGAATTAAGTAAATATCTCTACAAGCTAGGAAAAAGCAAAGGTAGAAAGAAGGAAATAAGAAACACAAAATCAGAAATTAATGAAATAGAAAAAAGACATAAAATAGGGAATGTCAAAGGAGCCAAAAGACAATTCTTTAAAAAGATTAAAAATTGACATAATTGATCAAGGAAAAAGAAGAATGAGAAAAACAAATAACTAATATTAGGAATGGCAGAAGCAATATCACTCTAGATGCTACACATTTTAAAAGAATAATATGAGGGGGGTGCCTGGGTGGCTCAGTCGGTTAAGGGTCCAGCTCTTGATTTGGCTCAGGTCTTAATCTCAGGGTCATGAGATCGAACCCTGTGTCAGCTCTGTGGAGCCTACTTAAGATTCTCTCTCCCTCTCCCCCTGCCCCTCCCCACCTGCCTCCCACGCACACACAGTCTCTCTCTCTCTCTCTCTCTCTCTAAAAACAAAAAAAGAGGATATCATGAATAACTTTATGCCAAGACATTTGCCGACCTAGATGAAATGGGCAACTTTCTAGAAAAACACAACTTACAGAAATGGACACAAGAAGAGAGAGAATTTGAATACTCCTCTTTTAATGAAATTAAATCCATAATTTAAAACATTCCAACAATCAAAACACCCGATCCAGACGGCGACACTGGTAAATGCTACCAAACTTTTAAGGAAAAAGATCAACAATTCTACACAAAATCTTTCAGATAGGCCAGCATAACCTTGATACGAAAACCTATCAAGGACATTACCAAAAAAAACATTAGAGCAATATCCCTTTAATGGAAAAAAATTCCAAGTGGAATTTTAACAAATCAAATACAATGTTCCATAAAACTATACTCATCATGGTTATGTGAGTTTATTCTAGAAAGACATAGTTTGCTTAACATTAAAAAAACCATTCAAGGGGCACATGGGTGGCTCAGTTGGTTAAGCGTCTGCCTTTGGCTCGGATCATGATCCCAGAGTCCTGGGATCAAGCCCCACATTGGGCTCCCTGTTCAGCAGAGAGTCGGCTTCTCCCTCTCTCCCTCTGCCCTTCCCCCACTCCCCCTGCTCGTTCTCTCTCTCAAATAAAATCTTTAAAGAAATAAAATAAAAAATTATTCAATATAATTTCAACAATAGGATGATCTTAATCGATACAGAAGTAGTTTATAAAATTCAACCCCCATTCATAATAAAAATTCCTAGCTACCTAAGAATAGAGAGAAACTTCTTCAATTTGATAAGATTATTTTCCTAAAACATACAAATCA